GAATTTGACTAAAAAGCTCATTTGAGTAGAAAGATTTACTTATTTTTTAAACGAAAACCTTTCGTGTTGTTAGCATAAAGATTAAATACAGGGCAGATAAATTGCGAAAACTTTAAGTAAGACATGGGGCGTCGGATAATAATAATTGTTTTCTGGGAAATGTGCAATCTCATATTAAGGAAGTGTTAAAATTCTACATGGCGTCCCTTTATTGGAAATGAAACCCAACGTGCAATGGTGTGTGGCGTGATGGACAACTTTCAGAGCCGGCCCCGCCGTCAGGCAATGTTATTATTGAGTTTTTCCCTTGATTGCTCAGGAATGTCGACGCAAGATTGGACATACACAGTACTACGCACGCATTATACACATTGATACGCACGCAATACCTCGCGCACGCCAATCGGAAATGTGCAGCCTTGTGACAGTAAATGTGCATTTGGTGATCATAGCGCGATGGCCGACTTACCAGCTCTTTCACCTTTATGTGGCTAATGATCTAATTGTGGGCATTATTTACCATGAGACTGTGACCAAGACATTAATTTTTTGCTGACGAACAAAATTGGTGGTAGCAAAACGTCAAAAACATATGCGGTGTGTGTATTATGTGCGTGTGTGTGTGCGCGCGTGTGTATGTGTGTTGTGGTGCGCGTGTGTGTGTATATGTGTGTGTGTGTGTGCGTGTGTGTGTATATGTGCGTCGTGGGTGTGTGTTTGTGTATTTTGTTGTGTTGCTGTTCCATGCAATTTCCATAACAGGAAGGATATAAATTAAGACGTTAAGATATCCTTGTAAGGAACAGACAAACTAAGCCAAGTCTTTCTGGGGGTGTTGGAATATTAATTAGTCCCAAGAATCTCTTAAAAGAAAATTACTGATTGATTCTCTCATTTTATACTTTCTTTTTGATGGAGAAATAAATTATTTTTAGAATCTATCTGACATAAAAAATTAACTCCTTTTTCTCAAATTAATCTAAAGAAGTAACTTAGGTAAGTTCAGGTCCTTCACAGGAGACTCTTCAAAAATCTGAGATAAAAGAACTTACATAAGTGGTGAATGCCAAATTAATAAGAAAGTTACGAAGGCATGCGATTTGTCAAAAGGGAACAAGATTTTGATGTATTCAAAAAGAAATGCTGTGGATTTGACTTCTGCTTACACTGGAGCAAGTGTATTTTGTCGATACAGCGGTAAAGATTAAAAGAGCGAAAGATCACTTAAATTCTTCAGAAACGCCTGGTAAAAATTCCATATTGAAGGAGACCAATATATCACACGCTATGTAAAAAATATAGTTACACATTTTCACCAACTTACCGCAGATCATCGGGTTAAATATATTTTATTTAGGTATTTAGTTTTAGGTGTTTAGTTTTTTTAAGATTTAAAATTGTCTTCTTAGTACGATTGAAACAGTTAATAAAAAGGAATCCACTTTAATAAAACAAAATGTTTCTTCCGGCAAACAACTTCAGTATGCTTTCCAGGTCAAGAGGTCGATTTTGTAACTAACTCGCCTGCTCTACCCGCATTTCACCAAAAGATCAGTCAAGAACAGTTGCACAGTTATTAAAATTACAATGTGGGGATTTGTACTGACATTGTTGTTCACATTATGTTTATAGGATTTTCTCACTACATACATCGAAACATCCCATGAAAGCTCATTGTCAATAATCTCTAATACTGTTCTCTCTTTGTAACCAGGAAATAATAAATCCGGTTCTGTCTGCAGAGCACGCGAAACGGCAAATCTTAATACGTTTCAGGGCAAAATTGATTCAGTTTCCAGAAGTTAGCAAGTTGGCTGAAACTTAGTTATGTAAGCGGGTGTTAACGTGTCCTCACACGCGCCTAAAATTACCAAAGTTTTGCTTCCAATAGCTCGTTTCCATGCACTGAACGTCTGAAGTAATTACAAGAGGATCGAAACGGTAATCCTAATGTAGCAATGCTTTTTGAGGAAATATATGATGGCGAAAATGTATGTCTGGAAGAACACAGCAATCACCTTTTTTGTACCTAGCCAAAATTGATTTGAATATCGTGTTTTCACAAAATGAACTTTAGTATCTTACACTTTGAGCTGTAATTTGTAGCATATAGTTCCAACTTTGAAGCATCGGCCTGAAAACATTTCCATTAAAATGATAATGCGCAAAGGGAATAGGGATGTATATGCTAATAATAAATAATATCCATATCAAATCTAAAACATTGGTATAGTTTTTACTTTTAAAGATTTGTTTATTGTCATACATTTTTGACATGTTAAATTCCAAAAGTTGTCGACAAAAGTGAGAATATATTACCAATAAGTTATTGTAAAATTATATTTTAATGACAAAGTAAAAACACTAACAATACTTAACTACCTGATTGAAACCTATAGAATTTAAAGAATATGTTTACTAGTATTAGCAAACTCGCAATGTAAATAAAGGAAATAAAAATCCTTGTTTTTATTTCTGCTGTCGATAAATGGGTATCATACTTTACATTGTAAAAAATGTTTATTCTTTCATTAAAGCTTTGATAATGTTTGTGTCTCTCTCACTATATTGTTTAAACTCGGGAAGTATCCACAAGAAATCCAAAAACCCTGTTTCTCATATGGGGGCATTCATATGTTGAAAGAAAAAAACTTCGTATTGGCAGCTAAATTAAGGCTATACTGAAAACAATAAATCTCAATGACTAGATGCCAAAACCGTAATCTGGTCCATTGGCTAAGATCCCTAATGAGTGCTAATCACAAGATTGCTAATGGTGGTAGCGGTGGCTTGTTACCAAAGTGCTTGTCAGATAGAATCCCGAATCTACATTTTAATACCTACGGATATACAAATATCGTACACATTTTAATATACATTTTCATACAAATTTTAAAACATATATTAATACAATTGTAATATACTCAGTAATCAAATCGGGAAACTCCGATGTCAGACAAGGAACGTTAGCACGCTGGCCCCATGACCTCTACGCTGCTGAATTCAATGTATTTGAATAAGTCCGGGCAAAACTTGTTAACGCGCAAACACTCGAATCGAAATGATGGCACCGAGAAGCAATGCATGCATGAACAAGCAATTACTGAAAATGGACTGTCATAGAGAGCAAAATTTTACTCCTCTGGGAAATGAACCCGGGGCTTTCATTAGCCAGTCAGAAGCTCTACCCGACTGAACTGAGGAGTAAAACATTAGTCCCGCAACAGTTTATCGCTCATACACTACCGGAGAGCATTAAAAACATAAGTAGTAATCAAAATGGTTGGGGTTGGGATATTATATTAATGTTAATAAATTAATGAAATATGACACCTAATGGTGGTCCCGGATTTAGCTCCAGGTGAAGTCAAATAGTTATCTCTGTGGCAGTGTCAGTTTTAAGTTCCCTTCCCATGAACATATTGCCGGAGAAACGTCATGTAGAGAGGAAACTTCTGCAGCCTTCTGCGTGAGTACTCACATCAGAGTGAAGAATTTGTTTGAAATTGCAGATAAACTTAATGATCGTTTTAAAATATTAACGACAATGTACAAAAAATGCGTGCAGTAGTATAACGCATTAATATGAAACACAGATACACCAAAGCACATTAATCACATTTCAAAATCAGTGTCATTTGTGAAATAATTTATGATAGTCATCATATCTGTTTCCTTTCAAAACTTGAAGTAAAAGCTTAGTTATTCCAAACAAAGGAAACCATTACGCGTTTCTTTCAAAATATAGAAGATAGAGGGTCAGATCACATGACATGGCGTGTAATGGACGGTTGGTGAACAGAGATCGGGTGTTAATGCACTAAAAATCACTTTATATTTTTCGCTTGAAAAGCACTGATGATTAAAAATTAGACTGATAAGGCCATAAATATCCAAAAATGCATTGGATTAATTATTCCGTGATTGTAGCTATTAAGAATGTATACATAGAACGTTTTACATCTCGAGTGGTGGCGGAGTTCCTCCTTACTGGAATGGATGATCGAATTCTGATCTACACAAAGTCATGCGACCGTTTCCCCTCTTAAGATATCTCTGCAAGCGGGGCACCGCTATCAAAGAATAATTATTAGCCCCCTAATAGTCTTTCAACAAGTGTGGTCGTGTAGTGCGGGTAAGTGTGTCTCTCCCTGTGTGTGTGTGTATGTGTGCGTGTGAGTGTGTGCATTTGTGTACCCACAAGGAAATGTCCATATAGAAATGAGAGCTTAAGGTTGAGGAGGAACAATAAGACACTGTCAGTTATCAGTTTGCCGTTTCTTAAGGTATTCGCTGGTTTTCGCCTGGAATTGAGAAATCACGCAAAACTACCGAGAATCTTCTACCAGAATTCTCATTTAGACAGTGGCTGAAATCGTCCTAGCATAAAAAATCCTTCACTGTAAGAACTCAAATTCTAGAATGCACTGCCTGATTGTACTGCCTAATGGAAATGAGGTCTGATGGTTTTGCCTGGTGGGAGTGATGTCTGGTGGGAGTGATGTCTGGTGGGAGTGATGTCTGGTGGGAGTGATGTCTG